TTTTTTTGTCGGTACGCTATAACTTCGTCAATTCTTCATCAAATCCAATGATTGACCACACATTTTGAAGATATTCTTCTCCTTCACATTCTGAAAAATAGTCCTATCCCCCGAAATTTCCGGGAAAAAAGTTATCAAGGAAAAGAAACTTTGTTAGTGAATAACTCAAAAATTATGCATTTTTTTCTCGATTTATACCCAGAATAATTAGAAAGATAGCTAAATTATCTACAAAACTAAAAACATTGTAAAAATCGAACAATTATCAAAAAAGATACAGTCCATTAGTTTTGGTATACTTAATAATTTCTTCTGCTTTAAAGATATAGTATTTACTATCCTACTACACTTTGTTTCGTGGCTGATACATTAACTTTATTATTTTTTAAAGGCATTTGTTTATTCTTATATTTTATTTTTTTTAATTAATTAGAAAATCTCATGATCGAGGCTTTATTAAATATTCAGTTAAAAATAGGTCCTATCAAAGGAATTTGTACAAATATTTTGGTTTATTATGTAATCGATCAATTAAATGTAATATTATAATCGACCAAGGAAAAAATATAAATTTCTTCCTTACATAATAAATAGGATCTACTTATTTCCATAGTGTTTTGCTATTGCTTCAGTAAACAAAATTTTTTGTGAATTATTCGCACGGGCCAACTAGTAATATGTACTAAATTGTATATTGTGATTTGTATTGCGTATATTTAACACATATGATTAACGATCGTACACACACTATGATGTGAAACTAACAAAAAATTGAAAATACTGAAATATAATAAATTAAAAAAAAATCCTTACTAGTTTCAGCTCCATTTTTTTTTTAATATTCACGAAAAGGCGCTGAATAATTTGAGCCAACAAACTTAAAAATCGGTCTAGTCGTTCGTTAAAATAATCATAGCATTCCTTTAGCGATTTGATTAAAACACGTTTTATATAAAACCTCGTTTCTATTTTGATTCCAAATTGTTTCAAAACACTCTTAGGATCTCATCGAATGATATGAAACATCAAACTTAAATATTGGCAGCCATTCGCTCAAAAATTCGTTTCTTATCTTTTAGTGGATTGATTAATTTACGTTTTATACGAATAAAATATTCGTGATTTGATCTCAAATTGTTTCAAAACACTTACGTGATCTCACTGGATAATTAGAGCCATAAAATAAAAATCGGTCCAGCCGTTTACTCAAAAAAACCGTTGCATACCCTTAAGTGGACAACCCAAACACATAATTCTCCGTGTAACTTTGCCCATAGTCGAATAAAAGGACCTCTGTCCAAATTTTTACACAAATATGGATGGCGTTATTTAAATATTTCAAGATGGTGGACTACATATTCAATTTGGCTTTTAATAAATAAGCTAGCCAAAAAGGAAATATGATTTGGTAGCGGTGGATGGCAGAAGTACACACACGGCTATGAAAGAGCGTCGGACACTCGAGCGGTGAGTGCCTGTAGAAAGCTCCTGTCGAGTGGGAAAAAAAAACTCACGAAGCTCGTTGAGACCGCCCGCCCGATTTCACTCGAGATCATTGTGTAATCTATATTTGTTTGCCTTCTCTAAATCTCTTCCTCGCTCTGCCCCCTGTATCTTTCTCACTAACAATGTCTTTTATGCAACCTTACCTCTAATCAGTACAGAACTCTTAAATCATTTACTACTATCTTACTATCTGGTCACAAATCCTTCGCATAAGAATATTTTTTACTAATATGAGACTATCAACTTTTTTTTTGAAGTAATAGCGAATAATTTATTAATTTTAGCATAGCTATGTTATGGTTTATAAAAACATAAGCGAACAGTATTTAAGTGTAGTTTTAATGGACAGCCTCCTGATGAATTATGTCGGGTATCCGTTCCCTTAAGACAAGGGTCTCCAAACGTTTTGGCATGGGAACCATATTGAGTCCTCCAGTAAGTCTCACTAGTTTCTTTCAGTTACATAGGTTTATAGGAAGGACTGCTGTCACAGGCTTAAAAAAGTTATAATATTTTTTTAATCAAACCTTCAATTTTTCAAGGGTATTTTTAATAAAACAATAACAATTAATATTCTCAAGGAAAACAATATAAATCTTTTTAACCTCCTCTCCATACTCCACTTCATTTTATTATTTCGACAACGTTTCAGACCCAATTTCAAGTCGAACATATTTGTATATTTTTTTAATCTTAATCTTCTTCCAATTATAATTTCATAAATATTTATGAAAAGTCATTCTTCAAAATTATAAAAAAAACTTTTAGGACACTTCTACTCTTTATAAAATGTTTACATTTACAAATTTTCATTCAAATGTTGTGTGTACATTATCGTCTTGTCTCATTTCATATCCTAAAGTCCATTGTGAGCTGTGCTAAAGTTTAACTTGAAAATATTAAACGCTATTGTTATAACAATTTAATTATATTTACTCACTTAATATTGGGTCTGTCGATCTGATTTTTCAATTAATAGAATACGATTTTAGTATCCCCGGCATTTTGTCTCGAGATTACGGATGACTGTGTTGATAAAAACCTTTTCAGGACTTTAAATAGTAATAATAGCATAATAAGATTGTTCTAAAATGGTTTAACACTTTTTTCTCTAGATAGTCGGACACAGCACCTAGGTTTCTGATGTGACGCCATTTTGTATTAATATGACAGTTGGCATTTCTTAAAGAATTCTTGAGGCCAGTAGCGGATACAGGATTTAATTTTAGGAGAGAGGATTTTTTAAAATTTATTTTGTTTTTATAACTGTTATCACTCCGAAAAAAAAATTGGTGTGTCCATTCTAACGACTTTCCTACCTATTTCAGAAAAGTTATTAAGTCTTTAAATATGTCCATTAAGAAAAAATTGAATTAGATTTATTTTTCTGAATATTAATCGAAGAAAAGATTTTATTGCGATTTCTTTGTTCAACTAAAAAAGTGTAAACCGGCTTGTGGAAGATCAGCGTAAAAAATTCAATAGACTCTAATATTGCTAATCAAAGCGTTTTTGCCATTGCCCAATAATTTCTGTTAAAATAGAGGAAATAGAGAAACTAGTATTATGCGGGCACCAGATTTATTTACTTTCATTTACTTATCCTTTTTCTCTCTCTTTCACCACCCCTTTGTGGTACTTGATTAGAACTCATAATTTTACACACGAAATTGAATAGCAGCTAAAACTTCATTAATAGTTGTCCGAAATGCAAGATTTTTATATACTTTTGTAGGAAATTTCATCACTTCAAAAAAAAAAAAAAAAAAAAAAAAGGCTAAAGAGTTTTTTTCAGATTCAGGGGGCTCTGAAACGTATAGATCCGTCGAAAACCGCATATCGGAAATTTGACCCGATCGCAATACTTTCCTTCCCTATTATAGGTAGAAAAGTAAAAATAAAAGAACTAAATGAAATGAGGAAAGAAACTCCTCCTTCCCCTCTCTCCGTCGATCCGTGATTATTTGTCAGGTCATGGTGAACTCAAATAATAAGTTGAAACCAACATGTTTTTACCCCTTAATATCTGATATTACTTTCAAAATATTCGCAAACGTATCAATATACAAGATGATATTTCACTCTTGTAACAAATATACTTATATATTTTTTAATATTTTGAAACTAATATTACTTTAATAAAAGCATTAGCAGGCTGAAGGGAAGCTCATAGACTGAAGTATTTTTAGGTTTTATTTTTTTTTCCATTGTTCCAGTTTTGTTTCTATGAGCGATTTGAGTCAAACTTTTTAATAATTACAATATATTCTCTTTTTAAATTATAATGTATGTTATTTAACTACTAAATGTAACCATACATGTCAAGAAAATGTATAAAAACTTTACCCCTAAAAGCAGTACAATCCGTCAATTACTGTTATTAAATTAATAATAAAAAAAAATGATAACAAGTTAGGCTCCCCAAAATTAAATCCTGAATCTACAACTGGATTAAGAGGTGAATGTTAGTTTTAACTTTGTGTCACTTTTAGTTTGCTCTACCAACTAATCCTAGTTAAGCTAAATGTGTATGATAATCCACTATTAATAGAGAAAGGTGTTATAGTCAGTAACATTATTTTCTTCTATTCCCAGTTGATAAAATACTTTCTTAATATCGAATCGACAATATTTAAAAAATGAATAGCACCCACTTTGATTGTTATATGTGTAATTTATTTTACTCTGGCTTTTATTTATACAAAATCAATTAATCATTCAGGGGATGGCTTAGTTCATTAGAGCCTGTTAATAAATGTACTCTTGAGCCTAGAAAAACATGACAGATAATTATAAATAAATAAAAAATAATATTAAATTAAAACTAGTATAGAAAATGTTAATTAATTGTTATATTATAAATTAAAATTATTCTTATCTAAATAATCATTCTCTTATCAAACTTCTATCTTATTTTTCATAATTTAAGTTAAACTGTTATACATTTTGGGTGAGTATTTCTTTAAATGTTTTCACGATTTTTTTTTCCCCATGGTTGGAATAATTTTTAATGTTCATAAAAAGATTATTATTTATTGGGCCATTCTGAAAATATTTAATGTTAGAACTAATATGAGAATGTTATAGGGTAAATATAAAATACATGAAAAATTGTATTATTTTTATTTTTTTTTAATCAGTAAGGGTTCAACGAACTGTTAGAGCCACTTGTGATGGTTAGCTGTACTCATTGTGATAGGTTTTACTTTATGAACAAATTCAAAACTTCACATATGAAAACAAGTTTGATAAAAAAAATCATAAAAAAAAGACTTATGATTACAATTATATTTTCAAAACCAATTGTCTGCTAATGTATTTATTAATAATGATTAATCAGGTACAGTCAAAATGAAAACAATTTAAAACTATAAAATAAATGATAATTATTGAAATTAAATACAATAAAAAAAACTAACAATATGGTGATTAAATTAAACCAATATTACAATAAGTAATTTTCTATAACATCAGTAGAATCCAAAGTGATCTAATCATTTTGTGGACACTCTTGTACGTTTGTTCCATGCGAAATTTTCACCATAACCTCTTTTTACTCTTTTTTTAGGAGTTTCTTTAGGAATAAACAGTTTCCATCCATTTTTTTTGGCAAAATATGCAGCACTTTCTTTGGTTGGAAATCTTATTTCAACATCTTTGAGGGAATTGGCCCTGTTAAAAATACACACACACATATATATATTAAATATTGTATTAATTAAATAATAAACTCTTTATAAATATATTATTACTTATTTGTTTCACAAAGGACATGGTATTCATTATAAATAACAGTTTGAGACCATATTCCGTCAATCCAAATTTATATTAATGTACTTTCAAAATCCACTAAAGCTCATACGACCCATAAGGCTGACAATGGAGAATTTTGCATGTGTGGTCCAGGTACAAGATAGAAGATCATCAGAATTTCCATCCAGGAGAGGAGTAAGGCAAGGGAATGCCCCTTGCTCTGACATGTCTAATTTTTAATAAGGTGTACTTTGATATGAAATGAAAAATGATACGAGAAATATGAAATAATAATAAGAAACTCTCAGGTCCAAACATCAGGTACAGCTTGGAACAAATCAATGCAGATATTAGCATACACTGATGACGTTGGTATTGTTGGGAGATCCAAGGAAGCGGTAGTTTAGGCATTCCTTGCCCTGAAAACTGTTGTGAAGCAGATGAAACTAAATCAATGAAGCCAAAACAAAGTACTTGGTTTCAGATCAAGATCTGATATTGCCACACACCAATGTTTCTTTTGGCCCATTCAAGTTTGAGCAGGTCTCAGAGTTTGTCTACCAGGGATCAATGGTAACCAGCGACAATGATGCAGCAGTTGTTGATTAGAAAGAGAATATTGGCTAGAAGCATCTCCCCAATTTGATAACCCGACGAACAAAACAAATCATTTAGAGGACACTCATTTGTCCTGTTCTATTATGGCTCGGAGGCTTGGATCACAATCAGGGCTGAATAGCAATTCCTACTCACATTTGAATGTAAAGTGTTACGCCAAATTTACAACGGTATGTATGAGAACAATGAATGGAGGCGGATAATCAATTCAGAGCTTTATCACCTATATCATGAGTCGGACATTTCCTGTGTGGAAGGCTCAAATAGGCAGGACATCTAGCCAGAATCCCTGATGATCTACCTACCAAAAGAATAATGATCGAGCCCCTGTATAGTCGTCAAAGAGTTGGAAGGCTGAAGTTGCGGTGGGCAGATTGTGTCGTCTATGATGCAAGAAAATATTTGAAAGTGCAAAATGGATGGCAATGGCACAGAACAGAGAGACCTGCCAGACCCTTTATGGGTTTTAGTGATGCTAGTGTAGAAGAAAAAGAAGTACTTTCAAAATTGTCAGATAGTAAATTACCTGAAAATATTTGCAATGCCTAATAATGTAGCCTATTGAGTTTTCTCTAATGTTTTAATCAGTAGGTTATAATAATAATTATTGCACACGGAATTGTTTATGGAAATCTACATTAAAATTATTATGTTAATCTAAGACAGCATACTAAATCAGTTTTTTTTTTTTTTACTGATTACTTATTAGGCGCAAACAATATTTATTAATTTGGTTAGTTGAACATTTAAAGTTCAACTGAATTGATTAGTAGAAAATATTAGTAAATTGATTAGTATTTTAATAGTGTCTTAATAATAAACATGTTGGATTTTATGAAAATATTTTAAAAATATGACGTCTTAATAATACTGTAGAAGTAAACAGGTCTATAGCCATGAAACAGAGTATTTGTAGTGGATAGATAGGTCAGAATTTTTAAGTAGCCAGATTGATATTAATCCATCATCAGTTATTTTAATATTGTATGAAAATTTTTGTGACTCCTCTAAATAATAAAAAATTCTGTATATATTATCATGCCAACTTCATGCCTGGATGAAGCAAATTCACCGCATTAACATTTTAATAAAAAGGTGAAGTTACTGTCTGAAAAACCAAGTATATTATTAATTAAATAATAGTTATGAATTAAATGCAAATATGTTTTGTAACACAAAACTTCTTCAAGTAAAATTTTCTTAATTTAAAAATTTATTATTTTCTTAATCCTGTTCTTTGAAAATGTCTGCAAGAGATGAGACTAAACAACTTTCTATATAAATTATTATTTTAATAGGCTAATTTTTATTTATTTTAGATGATTATAACCAGGGGCTGCCCATCTCCTCTAAGATCAATGGGCTACCCTCATCCCAAGAAATTTTATTTCTCACTTTTCTTAAAACAGAGCACACTAAGGTAGAATTAGAAAAATCTTAGATCATTTACAATAACACTTGCCACAGTATGTTCAACGCTTTTCTCCTTGTCCTTTATTCTGAATATTCCTAATTTCGTCAAAATTTGTCCCCCTCAAAAATTGAAAAACCTGTCAAAATACGCAGCCTCAAAAATTTTGATGGCACAACTTGCACCATGAAACCCCCTTCTGAGCACCCCTGATTATAGCTCTTAAAATGAATAAATAGAATACATATCTCTCTATAATTAATTTTAATCTTTTAGTAGTTTATAATAGAGAATTGGTTTGCCTTTTTATGGAATAAATAAAACTAATTAATCAAATAAAATAATAAGTAAGAAGTGTTGAATGCTTCGGATGATTTTTTTTTTTGTGTGTGGCAAAAATGCAGCACGGCCATGAAGGCCTATTGTACACCTCTATTAAAGTCACTCCTATTAGATCGTAATTCCTGTAGTCTCAATAAACTGAAGTAGGATTGGTGGGTTGATAAGCTTGTTTGTTTTGGGATCAACCACCCTGTCAATGACGAATAACAGAATCTCAGATCAGCAAACCTGTTGTACTAACAAGTGATATGATAAGCTGTTTCTTCCTCCTGACCGCAGAACCTACAAAGAGATGACTCTGTTAGCCGCAGGTTGGACATATGATTATTCAGTTTGCTGTATGCAATGTATGCCACTGAAATTTTCTTAAGTGAGCTCCTGCTTTAATTAGCAGCTTGCTTCTTTTGGGACAGATTCCATCAAGCAAAAATCTAGAGTGAGTGTTTTTTCAAGCACCAGAATCTTTTGGCTTCAGCACCATAGATCTCCCCAATTCTACTATTTATTAAACTACATACTAATTCCACAAATGGGTTCGTGTGTTGGATGATAATTTCAAATATAAATTTGTCTAAGATCATTAATCTATAGCAGCATACTTAGAGGGAGCAGTCTGCCCCGAGCTACTCCACAAGAGCTTTAATAGTTTTTTTTAATTAAATGATAACTTTATTTCAAGAGGATAATATATGAACCTAATAACAATAATAATGATACCTAACACTCTAGTAATAGAGTGCTATTGTTTTAAAAAAAATTGTATTTTTTTATTTCTATTTAATAGGACATAATTGTTAATATTATATAAATTATTGATTATTATTATTAATATAATATACTGTAATATAGTACCCTGGTATATACAAATTTTAATATTTATATCGCTGTAATCTATACAATTAAATATTAAATAATACCAACGAACATATTTAAGAAAACCGCATATGCATATGTACATAATATTGTCGGAGTCCATATTATATTAAGTTCAACTTACTATGGAAGTCTGTTCAAATCTTCGGGCGAGCTCAGATCCCTTTGATTCCCTCATAACAACTATTCTGTTACGTTCTCTTATTTCTTATTTAGTTAATTCTCAAATTCTTTCATATTTTATATTTAACTATTTTTTATATTAGGAATCAATGTGAAATGGTTAATTGTCTCAAATAAAAAAAATTAAAGGTACTTTAAAGGAAGCTAATATTAAAAATTAGCCATTTAAAACCTGTTAGAAACATCAATGAGAATAAAACCTACATAATATTAAAAACTGCTTAATTTTACTGTGATATAATGAATTTAATCAAAATCGTTAAAGCCCTTTTTGAAAAAATAGTTAAAATGTATTTCATCGACGATATAAAGTGCCACTTCCGGTACACTGATTTCAATGAAAAAGTTTCTATAACATCTCAGGTATATACAAATCTTAAATATACAATTTCACTTTCATACGACTTTTCATTTTTGAGCTAGACCTGTCACATACATACACACAGACCGTTTTGCAAGACTTGATTATTTGGACTCAGGAGACCTCAAAACATGTAATTCCGATGAAAACTCAGATTCGAAAATTTTCACAAGTACTGTCCGTTACTATATATTTCATATGTAGGTAAATGAAAGTAAAAATAGAATAATACAAATAATAACTTGTTAATTGTCAGTTATTATTTTATCATATCTTATTATATTAAGAAAATGTATGATTCTGTTTAATGAATGTATTATACATATTAATATTATAAAAAAATTCTACACTTTGAATTTTAAGAACACTATAATCATAAACTTAATTTGTAATAACCATACCCTGATATCCAACCCATTAGAGGATTTTCCCATGTAACATCGTTTGGATACTTCATAATAAAGCCCTTTGTATTGGCTGTTCCTTGCTGCATGGCATTTTTTGCAGGTTTCTGAATTATTGCTATGTTCTTTTGAAGAGCCTCTGATGGAACTCCAGAAATAGGAGTTAGATCCTGTCAAATATGGAAAATGGAATGAGTGTGATTTAAATCATTCTCTAGAATGGTATTATCAAAATGGATATTCTCTAATAATTTTGTAGGTAGTAGTGCATTATGAAATATTGCATTGTTTGATAATTTGTTTTGGATGCTCAAAATTGAAAAATTAAAATTAAATTATAAATATTTTTTATTAATTTCTTTCAAACTGTAAGAAGCTTTAAAATTCCCATCTTATATTAGCTTAGAGATGAAAAAAAAAAAATTAAATAAGGTATTTGATTGTACAGCTTTTACTGAATTTAATTTATAGAACTTGAAGTCTCATTGCTGGTTAAAACACTTATTATTGTTTATATTAATTTTACTTAAATTATCTAATTCAAGAAATGTATACTTGGTATATTAAAAAAAATACAGAAAATAGTTCAAGTTGATGAAAATGAATGTTTTTCATAGCTTAAAATAATATCAAATAGTCAACTATTTGAGAATGAAAACTTGAGGATTGAATAAAAATAAATAAAAAATCTATTTTTAATGATAAAAGTTCTAATTTTAGTACACATAAAAATATTCTTCAAACAATATATTCACAGAAACAACCTTCATTGTTATAATGTACGGTTTAATAATGATCAGACTTGGATTTGATATACGATCCCTTTACCATATTATTCTATTTAATTTAGACAACAGAAGCTTATTCAGATTTAGATTAATTATTATTTATTTATTTTAATGGTTTCTTTTCCTGAAGAAGATAATGATTTAATGTTTAAATAAGTAAATTATTACTTAAAAGATTAGGCTCAAGAAGAAGTGAGTTAACTGAAAAATTTAGTTGTTTTGTCATGCAAAATTGTATGACCTCGATTAATAAATACTGTTAAAGTTTAAAAATTGTGAATATTTAAATAAGCATATTAATTTGTCAGATTAAAAAAGTAATTCATCATTAAAAGATATAATCATTACTAAACTGATGTCAATATAAGAAGGAGAAAGCAAGAAATAGATGAGAAGATTGATGTAGGTCTCATCTGGTAAATTTCGGTTTCATTGGAGCTCTGTGTCAGAAGGCCTGTTTGTAATGATTCTTAATTTGTTTTTTATAATCTCATCAATTTGGCTGAATTCTCATTAACTACTCAAAATGGTGCACATCACCACTTTGTTTTATAATTATTACTACACAATCTGGGATAATTCTGATCATGAGCAAAAAATAGCAATCATTTGTTGACAATAACTTCTTTCCTCATTGCAGTATAACAATGAAAATTATCTGTATCATCAAGTTGAAGTCGGTGTTTACTTGTAATTCCAGAAAATGCTAGTGAACAGTCCTAAAAGAATAGAGCTGAATAAATGACTACCACAAAAAAAAAGAAAAAAAAAAGGATGGAACTGATGAAATTCAATACTGAAAACATGTATTTCCTCTTCAATGGATGTCAATAGTTTAAAATTGACAGAGCAGAAAAAAAGACACATTAAAGATATTATGTACACAATAGTATCCATACTTCTCTGATCAGTAGAATTTAACAATTGTAAAGCTGCATGTGTAAGATGAAAATGGTGAGGAATATTATTAATTGCAATAATAAATAAAGTACATTCCCCTCCCCTCAATTGTCTGCGAGTTGACTATTACCGAAATTTTATTTATATCATTCAAACTTATTTTTACAATTATATCATATTTTATAAATTAGCTTCCATTATTAATACTTCAGTTAAAATATTATGAACCCTCTTTCAACAAAAAAAGCTTAAACATATGGACAGTGTTTAGTTGCTATGCAAAATTAATCAACATTTTTTGTTTTTGTATTCACAATTATTTAAATTATCATGTATATTATTATCTTTAAAAAAAACTAACAGCTATTTCATCTGGAACAGTTACATCCTTTTCTTGAACAGGTAGGCACATTCTGCATTCTTCATAATGATCAAGTCTAGTTGCTTCCTTTTTACAGATAGCAGCTTTAATAAAAGCTTCCCGACAAGCATCATCAGGAAATTTAGTTGCCATTAGCCTTAAAAGAAATATCTCAATTACAACAAATTCTCTACAACTTACATCAATTACATATACTGAATGATGACCTTTTATATATTAACTGATACTGTCTAAACATGTTGGTTTTCAATACAAATAGTCTCATTGATGGTGAAACATATGGAACAATCATCAAAACAATTTATAGAAATTAGTGATGTCAGAATGGTTTCATATGATAACAGGTTTAATTATTAAAAAAATTAATACAAATATATGCAACCCAACCGCTTAATTTAATTTATCAGCACTTCAATGATTCTATATTTATTGATTTATTCTTAACGATTTGTATACATGATCATACTTGGAAGGCAATCAAATGCCGTACAGACCACAGACAAAAACGCATTTATTACAATTGAAATTTATATGACCATACAAAATTTTTAACAACCATCATTTGGTTTCATAGAATACCACCAGGTAGCGCCATTTTCTAATCAGGCTCAATACGCTTTATTCGAAAGATTTTATTTTATTGCGTTTAATTTTTGGAAATGTGAATGTTTTTCAGTGGTAAATGTTAAAAATTTTTCTAGCTTCAGCGTACTCTAATATTTTACCCAAAATGAAAAAAATAATCATGATCATAGAAGCAGTCTCATTAGCGCTGTATCTGGTTCCATCTTACCGGTGCGAATTTGTTACAAGATTTCACTGTTTTGTTATGTGAAATGTAGTTTAAACTAACATAACTGTGGATTTTTTTGGAGTCAAGAGCAGGTAAAGTTTTTTCCTTGAGTTTATGTTTAAATAATTTTAGCGCCAAGCGATTAGAGTTATGCTGTTGATGTAGCATGCTGTATGGTCCCTCCATTGATTTCACAACTTTCATTGTTAAAAGAATGATGTGTCCCATTAGCCATTTCAGTATTCATATTTTAAAAATGATTTGACCTTGCAAAAAAACGAAATAATGTTTATGTATTTTTCACGGTATTAAATTCACTTGCTCTTAGTGTCCTAGTTAAAAATCATGACCAGTGGACCTTGATATTTCTTACTGCAAGGACTAGGTTATAAACATCAATACTTCCTCATGTTGTAATAATAATTGTGAAGTTGGTATGTTTTAATTTTTTATTTATTTATTAGTTATTATTTTGGTAATGGATATGATTGCTTCACCAAATGCTTATGTTTGAATATTCTTTCATGATGTGTTTTTAATTGATTTCTCTAATGTTGTTTTAGCATTACCATGCCAGCTCAAAGTGGAGATCCTATTACTTCAGCTCTTCAATTGTCACTTTCTACTGTGAAAAAATGCAAAAGTGGCGAGGATTTAGATTCAAGGCTAGTTGCCTCCGCTAAACAAATCCTTTTTTCAGAAATTAAATATGAAAAAAATAAGTGTGTCAACACCAGTATTTTAAATGAATTGAAATCCAAGTATATAGTTTTAAGTACAGTAGTTATTAATAATGTTAAAAGTGATGAAGTGACTAGTTCAAAAGACAGTGTTAGTGTTGAAGCTGCTCCTAAGAAAGTAATGGTAGTTTCCAAGGAACCAACAACATTACCAACGCCTAAGAGGATTCTATATTCCCCCGATGCCGTTAGGTTGGGGTGGTCTAGTCAAGTTCCTGTCGGTTCAGGTTTCGTTAACCTTGGGAATTCTTGTTATCTCAACTCAATTTTACAGGTATGTATTTTAATCAACAGTTAGCTGTTGTTTTTAATCTGTTGTGTTAATTTTAATTCCTTAATTTAATTGGCTTAATACATTAAGCTCCTTCAGCTGTTGTATCTTTTTAGTTTGATTTTAAGTAATTATGCAATCCTTGAAATTATCCATACTTACTTGGAATTCAACAGTTTGTTGTTGATTTTTGATATATCTAATCAGTGACATTGAAGAAGACAAAGTGATCTAGTGCAATGATATTTGCATTTTGAAGATTTATTCTTTCATAATAAGCCATATTTGTTAATATATTTTGAGTATGCAACATTCATTCATTGAAAATTAAATAATTTTATTTGATTTTCAAATGCTACGTATCGTGAAACATAAAACCTTAAGTTTTGAGGAGGGTTAAATTTTTTATGTTTTTGGACTATTACAATGATTCAATATTGCAAATAATAAACCAAAATTCTTTTCGAGTTCATGTTAAAAAGTTGGTCTTTAGTTTTAATGTCAACAAAATTTACTATATATTTCTAATTAGGTCCTAAACAAATCATAGTGCTAAAGTAACAGTTTAGAGGTTTCATTTCTGTCAACAGATTACTCTGTCTATAGATTTTATAAATAAAGTTTGAAATTACTGCATTCAGGCAAAATAATAATGATGCTTTCTTGTAGAATATGTGAATACCTTATTTCTTAATTTTCTTCTCTCGAATTTATTGATAAGTTATCTTGGTCAATTTTTTAAAATTTGCTTTTAATAATTTAATATTCTATTATCTTGATACATTTTGAATTAACAGTTATTACTATTATTTATTTTAATTATAAATTTTGTTCATTTTTGGCTTTTGTAGATTGTCAAAAAAATGTAGGTCATTAGATTATACTTTTTCTTTCCATGTTTTATAGTATTCTCTGGTGAAAGCTTAACTGTATTTATAAAGTAATATTTATATATTTACATCAACTTAAATAATTATTTACTCCTCGATTATATATATATTAAAATTCTTTTACTTTATTTGATTAAGTTGACATTGATTAAAAAAAATTACTTAGATGCATAGATTTATTTATAGCACATTCTACTGAGAATTCATGGATATTAATTTCCCATTTAAGGTATAATGGGTTTTATGAGGAGAATGGTTATACGTAATATAATAATGCAAAATTGTAAATTAGGACTGATACTGAGCTCATGAAAGTATAACATGCTATTTCTGAAAATATGTACTTCATTGAAACTTTTGAACAAAGTATGTTTTTATCTGTTCTGAAGAGAATTGTAAATTTATATAGTGATTAATTAACTCTAGATTTCCATAATCCTTCAATTAAAGATATATATTATATTCTGCAAACAAAGAAACTTAATTTTTAATTTTAATGTCTCGTTCTATCGTTTTAATGTATCTGGTGTTAAATGATAAAAGCAGGTTATTTTATTTCTTTAGATAGAACTATGATTGCTAATCATTTTTTTTCGATAATTTACTGTTAAAATTGATTTTTAATTTTTTTTTTTTTCTTTTTTTCCTGGGAAGTTGTCAATTTATTTATTTTATTTCCAAAAGGAGAATGTTGCTCTAGATGATAAAATTTTAGAACATAAATTAGAAAATTGACGATGGAGCACATTATTATTATTTGAATTAAGCCTTGCATCCACAAGAGTATTGGAATTGCAGTTCTGAAGATGGGAATAAAAGGTCCTGAAACGTAAACTAGACTGTTAACATGTAATGTTAAAAATATACTCGTATTGTTAATAATTGGAAGTTATTATTGCCAAGCAACTAAATTGATTTTTAATGTTATCCATCAATATTATAATACAAATTAAGTAAGAAATAGAAGAAGAAAAATTGTTCTAAAAAATATTGTTTTAAATTTCTTACGAAATTTTAAATGTTTACATTTATTTTAATTTCTTCCAGTTCCTAACATTTTTTATTTCAATTTTTATTTATTTGTCAATAAATATTGTCCTAATTTATTTATTTTCTTGTTACTAATTAATCTATAACTTCTATATCTCTTCTAGTTTTTATGGGTATTCTTGAAATATAGTTGTTTTAATTTTAATATAAATAAGCTTAATTGAGAATTACCTAATTTTTTAAAAGAAGTATCAGTAGATGTTCATCACTTTTTTTTTTTTTAAATTGGATTGCCACTTTTTCAGCTTATTTTTAATATCTGAATATATTATTTTCAATTAAGCTATTTATGACTGCCACCCTGGACCATCTCCTTCCTTTATAATGCAACAGTCAACTATTAAATATTCAATTATTTTGAATACTTCAATCGTTTAACTTTTATTTATATTTTAGGTTAATTGCAATGTTATCCACTCAGTTTGGTTGAAAACTTGGATAAAATAATTGTTATTGTAATAAAATAAAATGACAAATGTAAGATAATATTTTTACTATTTCAGGCTTTGTTTCATGTTCCTGCTTTCGTCAATTGGCTCTTAAATGATAATACACATACATCGAGGTGTGAATCGATGAGTAAGTAAAGATATATTTCATCATATTTATTATACATGATATATTGTATCTTTATAATTATGGATATTGTAAGATTATAATTTTCAAATTTTAGATGGCATTACTCACAGTGAATGTTTGATTTGCGCTATGTCTAAAACTTTACAATCATCTCATAAATGCACTGGGTCTGTTGTTAAACCATTACAGATTTATTCAAAATTAAAATGTAAGTACTTAATGTTTAAGATTTAGAACTTAAAAAACAGATAATTAATACAAATTAATTATTGAGATATAATTGGAAAATTCTAAACAAATGTTTTGAATCTCTAAAAAGCCGTTTCAACATTTTGCGAATTTAGGAATCATCATGGTATAAAAAATATGATCATATGTATGTTGTACTAATACATTACAGCTATACTCTGTTCATTACTACAGTCCTTAATTCTCTTCCTGCCTCCCTTCCCCCACTCTTCTACTACTTGATCTTCACTAACTGGCCCAGGTATACCAGGGTGGCGACCGACCTGGAAAAGTCAGTGAATTTTTAAAACCTGGAAAAATCAGGGAGAAGTCAGAGAAAAATTGTTGAAGTCAGGGAATTTTTTAAATTTGAAAATATTCTTTTTTAATTGGAATTAATATACAGTGGATTAATGTATGTTATGTAACCTATATCTATCCACTTGTCACTGTCAATAACGGCCCTGGCCGTTATATTGGAATTAAACAAGGTTAATGAATAAAATGTAAGCAAAATGGAGTTAAAACAGTGCTTTTTAAAAAAGAAAAATATCACAATACTATTTACTATCGTTAAGTATACATCTATTCATTGGTTAACTGAAGGAGAACTCGGCAGCTTCACATGACCAATGCTGTAGGTAGAGTCGTAATATGAGAGTGAGCAAAATGTGGTTGGACCGCTCGGACTTTAAAACGCATTTCGGTCCTTAATTCTGTAATGATTGTTATGTATATCAACAGAATATATAAAAGCTATGTAATATGTTTATACATCCTAGTTCTGTTATAAAATAGTTAAATTAGCCGAAAATAAAGCATTAAAAAGATAAAAAGCACTTAGTTTGTGAACGGTAGATACTACAAGGGAAATATGACTTCGATTCTCTGAGCTTTAACAGCCGTCTAATCTTCTTACATATTAACGTGTCTGTATGAGGTACATACAAAACTTAATGCTCTTTCAAATTGATTACATTGAATTTCTTCGATACATGCATAGATTATGAGTTTTGGGGGAAAACAGACAAAAATAGATTTTTCTTGTGAAAAATGCAAAGTCAATATTCTCTTACTGCTCACCCATTAGCCTTACATCAAAAAGCTATGCATAAAATTTATAGTAAATTTTATCTTTAACATTGTATATAATAATAATTTCGATAAAATGCCAGTTTCGGAGTCATGTCCAAAAAACTAAAAAAAGTTCGTAAATTTTGATGTTTTTGCGTATATCTGGATAGGCAATGGAACATTTCGTCGGGAACATCAAATTCAAATCAGGATTCCAAAAAAACCGAAGAGAAACCGACTGTTTTAATTTTTTCTTCAACCAACTACCATCCAACTGCCCTAATGTGATGACTTTGACGTTGTCATTCAAGGTGTATTCTTTTAGGGACATATTCTTTACGTCATATAAAAATTTTGGCTGTCAGTTTTCCATTAAATGAACCGTCAAATTTTGCCTCGTTAATTTAAATTTTCATATAGAAAGCAAGTGTTCAATTGACTGAACGAAGTTGTGTGTTCAAATTAGGTTTATCTAGAATTTAAAATGGTTACTAGCTATAAGTCCTTCCTTTAAATAAAATTGTCGGTAGCTCCTTTTCTAATAGCGGAACATCGAGAAGAACCGATTTTGTCATGAGTAGATAGGTAGTCGTTGTTTTTTGGATATAACTGATTCAGAATGTCCTCGATTAGATTCGCAATTTTTTCAAACTGTAAGATTTATGTTGAATTCTTGAACCAAGATGTTATTAGACTCTTCAGTCTCCAGTCGGCAACATATATAGAATTTTTCTTATATCTAGAACTTTTTGCTCTTTGTTATTCTTATTAAACTACTAAACAGAAATATGAATTTAACTCTTTAAGAGTGGGAATGAAATTGGATTCTGACATAGAGAACGAATGAAATTAAATATTTCCTTGATAAGTGAGATATAAACAGGTAGGTTTTTACGAGTTCAACTGTTATATACTATCATTTTTTCTAAAAACTCTTAAGAAATCGAGTCAGTTAATCCATTCAAAATCACTCTATAAAAGCTATCTTAATCATCGAAGATGGCATTTTCGTTGTTAAAGCCAATACATCTATATAACATTATATACGATATTGTAATTCGCAGAAATTTTACTGTAATCTGCAGCCTTGATTATTATAAGTCCTTTAATGTTTTTATAAACTATAAAACCACATTGCTATTCCATCTTAGTAAAAATCGTATTTTAATAAATATTTTTTTAACGTTCTCCCATTAATTGATCGAGAGATAAATAAATTGAAACTACAAATCATTATTAATTTGACACATTAATTATTAATACTAAAAATACAATTGAAATATCATGACCTCGGTCGAGACGGCAAAAGTCTCAGGAAATGATGTGTCCAAGGCAGGCTATATATGCCATTGGGGCTCGTTTATGGGAGTATTTTTTTTAACATTCAGTTTTGAACTCTTCGATTTTACAGATAGTTCAGGAACGGCCGAGTTGCCTTCTGATTTTTAACTGTATGTTTAATATTGGCGAACGATAGATACTTTTATATGATTTAAATTATATTTTTATTTAAAACATATGACAACGGTCATAGCAATTCATTGGCTGGCAAGCACCTGTTCGTCCTAGAGAAGATATCAAGCCTCTAGAATACAAAATGGCGACCATGTGAAGATAGAAGAGACCTTACATAGGTTGCAGGGGTATATATAGAGAGCTTATAGATATATAAAGCTACCAAACACTTTCAATTTATATTATTTACAGTCTTGAGACCTGAAATTAAAGTCAGTTACCCCATACTCGTAGATTTCATGTGGAAAAATTGAATTTACGATTAAAAAAGGTTACTTTTATCGGTTTTTCGCTTATATCTGTAAAACTATGCGCTATATTTATAATAGTGTAATATGTGAAATTAAAGCTGACGAAATTTACAGTAGAAATGGTCATATTAGTTTATTTGCTATATTCTATAGTTTCTGTGATATTTACCCTCGTAATTCACTAGTTTCGAAAAAATAAATAATTTTTGCATCGTATTTTTATCATTATTTGAGTCGCCAACTCTTCATCTTTTCATTTTACGAAAAATCATGAGTGAGAAAGTTGTTTAATATTAAAATTTCTTTAAGAATATATATTATTTTACGATCTTATCTTCAACCATTCAAAGGCTAGAGCAATTATATTTTAATGATTAAACTTCTAAGCTATACAGAAAACTTTTTTCTCATTAGGCCTGTTGATATGATCAATGTATAAGGACAAAGCTTAGTATGAAATAAGACACCTTTTTTCGTACAGGCTCCTGGACTATTATAAGAGCAGGTACAAACCTGAAACGTCTCAGTTTTTTTATTTGGGTCCACCCCTTCGACATTGAGACTATAAGAAGCTTTTCCTTGGTGGAAGGTGGGGATGTTTAAAACTCCTCCAGCACCAGGACGCGGACTCATAATTATTTTATCATGTAAACCTGAGTTTATAGGGTTGCCGGGAAACATATGTTTTATACAGCTTTAGTCCCCTCAGTTCCAGTCAATGAATGCCCGAAAAAGGGGTAATAGAAAGAAGTGTCGGGGACTCAAACTTTGACTTATGGAAATTGTTTGGACTAGTGAAGTGATAAGCATACTAAAAGCACTGTTAGGTGGTGAGCCAGGTGTGGGGATAGGAGAAAGGAGAGCCTAGGTCACTTTTCGGGTTTTCGCTTATATCAGGAAAACTATCCATTTATAGTAGATTAAATTATTATAAATTAAATGCAATATGATTAATTATATACCATTTTTCGCTATGTTGCTTAGTTTCCGAGACATCCATCCTCAATTATTGCTAATGTGGAAAAGACATTTTACCTCATGTTTTTTACTGTATTTGACTATCTAAAACTTGACTGCATCGTTATACGATAAAGTCATGGGAAAGAAAGTTTTTAACAATTACATTTTCTTCAAGAATATATATTATTTTACTAGTTAATATCCAACGATTCAAAAGTTAGATCAATTATAGCTTTATATGTCAATTCCCAGAATTTGCAGTAACAATTTATTTTTATAATATTCGTTATTGCTCTAACTCTCTATACATCTAAATCTTTCTCTATCTATCTATATATATATATATCCATACGTATACATACATACGATAAGGTATATTATTAAAAATAATTTTTTTCTCGGATTCAATGCAAATTCTGGGAATTGACATATAAATTAATAAAGTTATTTCTTTTGAACCGTTGAAGATAAACTAGTAAAATTATATAGGTTTAGGTTATCGTTCCCAGGATCTAATTGTAGAACGAAGCAGCCTATAATTAGCTACTCAAATACAGTAAAAAACATGAGATAAAATTGTTTTTCTCAAATTAGCGATGATCAGGGACGGATAATTCGTAAACTAAGCAAGATAGCGAAAAATGGTATGTAATTAATCATATGGGGCATTTTATTAACTTTAAATTTTGATAGAACATTTTCGTCGATGCGATAGATAATTTTTCTGATATAAGCGAAAAACAGCAACAAACATGAGACAATTTTCTTTTCTTCGAAATTCGCCAAAGTTGAATATAGATATTTCGCTAACTAAGCGAGGTAACGAAAAAATGCATGAAATCAATCATATTACAAATTTTATCAGCTTTAATTTTTTATAGAACGTCTTAGTCGATGCGATGGATAGTTTTCCTGATATAAGTGAAACCCCGAAAAAAGTGACCTTCTAGAGGCCTCCTCCATCCTCTCCACCTGGCTTACCACCTAGGAGTGGAGACTTTTAGTATGTTTATTTCTTTACTAGTCAAAAAATCTACCAAACTCAAAAATTGTGTCTTTGCCATTTCCTTCTGTAAACATTCATTAACTGAATTACTCGGCCATCTCGCCTCACAGTTGGTATCATATGGATAATTATTGTTCTGTTTGAGGCAATAAAAATAGTTTTTTTTTTTTATCATTATTTCATAATGATATCTACAAGTGTATTAAAGAAATACATTTACTAAATTTAAACATATGGATATAATGACGTGAAAACACTTGTTGAGTAACTTCCCAGTGGTAGAACTCTAATGATATGTCTACATTAGAAGATTACGGGGCCATCTTCTTTTCAGATGCCTCGGAGGGTTATCAGGAATTGAAGAGGAAGCAAGGTTAGAAACGAGAGGGTTGGGATGATTCTGAAGTTCATTATAGAAGGATAGGTATCTGGATTGGGCCAGATCTGATACATAAGAAACATTAAAGTCATTATGGATGGTTTTATTTTTAATAAAGTAGGGAGCAGTGAGGATTTTACAAAGGATCTTAGATTGTAAGGATTGGACATGAGAGGAATTTGATGGTTTAGGGGAGCCTCATAGCTCAACTTCGTAATTCCAAATAGGCCTTATTATAGTTATGTATATGAGTCTTTTGTAATTAATCAGAAGTTTAGAGCGTTTATCCAGTAAGTGCTGGAGTAATCGGAAACGTTGAGCGTTTTCTTGTCGTTTCAGTCTGGTATGAGGATTCCAAGTTAGTGGTTTTTCCAGGTGGAGTCCTAGGTATTGGATTTGGTCAACAGGGATAAGTGGAGTATTGTTAAAGGAAACTGTAGGACAGGAAGTCATTGGTTTGCGACAAAGGGTATAGGTAATCTTGTGAGATTTATTAGAATTTATTTTAATTCTCCAGTTTTGACACCATTATTCAAGATTTATGATGTGTGATTGAAGCATTTGGGATACTTATGGGTCATTATTTACTGATAGAATACATGTGTCATCGGCATATGTGGTGATGACAATGTTGGGATTGGTAAGGATGTCAGCTGTATAAATTGTATAAAGGATAGGACATAGGATACTACCTTGAGGAGCACCAGTGGACTAGGAAATAAAAAAAGCTAAATTGCCTTACATTAAAATAAAAATAGCCCGTAGCTCAGTTTATTTCATACTCTTACTTTATAAAAATAATGTGCTTAAAGTATTAGTAAATAGGCGATAAAAATAAATTACTTAAGATCAGTTTTCTAAAATAAATAAAAAATCCTAATCATGTTTAAAAAATGCTTCCTCTTGAAAATTATATTTGTTTTTTAAAATACTGAACAGACTTTTTTTTTTTACTCTAATCTTTCAATTTTCAATCATGTTTGATAAATTAAATAGTTATAAATTATATATATAGTTATAAATTAATTAGTTATAAACTATATATTTTTAACATTTGTGTCCCTTGACATTTTGGTCAGTGAAAACTTTCATTAAACAGGGAATAGTCAGGAAATTTTACTCTGACAATTTGGTAGCCACCCTGTATACATGTTTATTATACGTTTTGATGACCAACAGGAGTGATGTGATATCTCTGGGTGATGTTTCTTTTGAAGCTTGTATGTGAGTTGTGCTGTCTAATTAACAAAATATTGACTGGCTAGTTTTTGACTGATATTCATGTCTGGAATCTTATCATCAAATGTTAATAAAATGTGATTACTTTTTAGTTATTTTTTTATTGTTTTGTCATATTATACAGCTGCAATCAATGATATTTGAGAAGTGTGACACATTAAATTTAATGGAATTAAGGCATGAGTGCTGGAGGAAACCGTCGATAATGCTAAGAAATAAAGTTATTCATTTAGGTTGATTTTTCTTCTTTTAATGTATATATTGAAATTTACAACTGTAAATGACATACAATCTGAAAAGAAACTACCCATTGGTAGCACTCCAATTATAGTTCTGTATTAGAAGGTCCTGATGCCATACCAAAGGTAATTTGATGGAAATTATTGGAATTTATTTTAATCCTTCAGTTTTGACACCATTCATCAAGACTTGTAATATGTGATTGAAGAGTCTGGGATTCAATGGGTTGTTGTTAACTAATAAGATACACGTGTCATCGGCATAGGTGGTGATGACAATGTTGGGATGTCAGCTGTATAAACTATAAAGGATAGGAGGACCTAGGATACTACCTTCAGGAACAGCAAACTGAGAAATGAGAGATGAATAAGCATGGTTGTGATTTACTTTAAAGTATCTGTCAGAAAAGTAGGAACAGATAATGAGGAAGTATGCAGGTGGTAGGAACTTAAAGATTTTATACATCAGTCCTGGGTAGGTTGATTTAATGCCGGTTTTATGAAACCAGGTTTGCAAGTAATACACTTGTAGGGTTCCATAATCTGTTTTATTAGTAACACTGTAGTCGGAGCCAAGTCTAGAGGACAGATGCGTTAAGATAAGCTCATCACATTGTACATGAAATTTTGAAGCTAGCAGAACACATCTGTCTTTCGACAGGCAAGATTACATTTCCAACAAAAATAACTTTACAAATCAACAACATAATGGAATTTTAAGTTCATTATGGATGATTTTGTTTGTGATAATGCAAGGGAGCATTCAGAGTTTTATGAAGGATTTTGGATTGTTTTGATTAGATACTAGATGAGGTTTATGGTTTAGCGGAATCCCAATGTTCCGCCTTATGAATCCAACAACCTAATAATGTCAATAAATCTATGGTATTTAATGAAAAGCTTAGTTTGTTTCTATAGTAAATTTTGAATTAGTCTGAAAGGTTTTCTGAAGTTGGCACGGTTTAATTAGATATCTTAGAACTTTAAATAAGTATATTCAAGCCTATGTTTGTGTTATTTTTCCTTAATTTTGTCTTAAGATTATTTATTTTATAGTAATTATTAGAAAGAAAAAAAAATGTTCAACTTATGGACCAGTTCAGCAAATTCATTTGTTAGAGGTCTCGATTTAAGAAAATTTTTAAGAAAGGAATTAACCAATTTTGATCATTTAAATTAACCATTTTATGATGCTACATATCTAGACCTAAACATGATAAATTTGTTGTTAGCCTATAGGCTTTTCTAAAAAAATGATTTTAGTTCTACATAAATTTATGAACTTCATCATCATCTTGATTAAAAAACTAAAATAACTACTTTAGAATATTTAAATGTATTTCATTGTTATGTATTATTAATTAGCATGCTAACTAAACCCCTAAAATAACAGTATATATATATATATATATATTTTAAAATTAAAATGCTACTTCCTATCCATCATTATAAGAAATAACTGAAGTTACGTGTATTTGTTTTCAGCAATTTGTAAACATCTTGTTCATGGTCATCAGGAAGATGCACATGAATTTCTTAGGTATCTAATTGAAGGAATGGAGCGCTCATATTTAACCATATTTAATGGGATTAAGTAAGTAATATTTTAAAGTTTTATATATTTCTTTAGCATTACCATGTTTTTTCAATGTTAGTCAAGAATTGAATTTCCATGGCCATACCACAGTTTTTTTTTTTTAATTTCTTTATGGCTTAGTAATTTCTAACTGATTCAGTGAGACCACAATTTTGATTCTTTGTACTTCATTGGATTTTACCAGAATGAGTTAGATATATGTTCATCCATATGACCAGTTAGTTTTGATGTTATATTTAGATAGCAGGATGTCTACTTGTCACAAAATTTGAGAATATGTTGGGGATTTTTATTGTTAGAGAAAAATCAGAAATAAGTTGGGAATCTTCTATAAATTTTGTGTGTTAGCGTTATTTATAAACTTTAATATATTGCTTCAATTTTCATAAACTGTAGTATAGCTAATTTTGGCAGTGATAAGAATGAAAGAGACTTTTTAATGAGATTTTAGCTTTAGAGAAACAGATAAATATGTACTTCTTGGCTCTTTTAAAAATTTATTACTAATGCCTTTTCAATGATGAATCTCGATTCTAGAAAAAATAAAAAGTTAAATCCATCTCCTAAAAATTTAAGCTTTTATGTTTCAAGAAACTTAGAATCCAAAATTTTACTTTCCTACCTATACTAGCTAGGTAAGGAAAGTATTGCAATCAGGTAAAATTTCCGATATTCGGTTTTTAATGGATCTATACGTTTCAGAGCCCACTGTTCAAAACACACGTTTTAGCCTGTTTTTTTGAAAGGTAATGAAATTCCCTACAAAACTGTATAAAAGTTGTTCATTTCCGACAACTATTAAAGAAGTTACAGCTATTCAATTTCCAATGTAAGATTACGGGTCCATATCTTTGTGTCAGAAAGGGGTGAATGAGAGAAAAAAGAAAACTAAGTGAAAGTAAGAAAATCTGTGGCCCGCATCACACAAGCTTCACTATTTCCTCTACTCATAACAGAAACAGCAATATTAGAGGGTATTGAAATTTTTATATTGATCTACTTTAAGCCGGTTTACATTGCTTTAGTTTATCGAATAAATCGTACCTAAATTTAATTCAATTTTCTTTTTGTTTCTTGATGACGTATATAAAGATAAAAAACTTTTCTGAAATGGGTAGAAAAGTCGTGTGAGTGGACACACCAGATTTTTTTTAAGTAGTTTTGCAGAGAAACTTCTTCTAATTCTTAAGTTAAAATTTTTAATGGAAAAATAATATATCCATTCACCCATAAGAAGAAATAAAAACATAACTGACAACATGCTGGAACTATTTTTTTCAGTTTTGTTACAAATCAAATTCACAGGTTATTCCAGGATCCTGAGAAAAAAAAAAAAATTCTTGGAACTTGATATTAAAATTTGCCAGTTTGTCTCTAAATTGTTATGGTTATCTATTTGGAAATGATAATGCACTCTGCATTTTTAATTTAAATTCAATATAGGTGCATAATTAAATTTTGATTTTAGTTTATTATCCTAAGTTAATAAAAATGTTAATAGTCAAGGGTTTTTTGCAAAAGAGAAAGTATAGAATTAGTCAAGAATTTCAATTACTAAAGTTGTTAAATAAAACAATACCTATTCTTCTTCTCTTTTTTTTTTCAGAATGCAGTTAGACAAATATTAGACAAGAAATTCCATATATGTGAAACACATAAAACCTCTTAAGAAAAAAACTGTTCGAATGAAAAAAATCTGTCATTTGAAATTATTTAACTTCGTAACAATTCAATTTGCAAGGGGCCACTTTATAAACTTTTATAGTTCATCAAATGCTATTCTTTCATATTTTCCTGGATATGGAATGAGGAATTTTATATCTGTATCCGTAGACAGTTCGTTATTGTAATGTAGCTGACTGTTGTGGACTTCATCAACCTCTTTAGAAAAAAAAATTAGTCCCTGTAAATTTTTGTCTCCAGTTGATTAATGCTCTATTGTTCTTTATATGTTTGTATTATTGTAAATAAAAATATATTTTTTCCAGGTTGGACAGCTATAGTAAAGAAACAACACCACTTAACCAAATTTTTGGAGGTTATTTAAGGAGTGAAGGTATGATTTTTTAAAATTACATAAATACATCTTTTCTTAGGGCCTGCATTTTCCCATTCAAACTATTAATCAGTCTTCAAACAAGTTTTGATGAGTCGAGTCAGCTGTATATTTCAAAGTTGTCTTATTATTTATGGAATGGCTGTCAAATGTTTTACAAATTTTTATTTTATTATAGTTATTTGCTTAATATTAATTATGTGAAAATTTTCAAATTTGCACATATTCCTAATTCCTCATATCATGAAGAGTACTTTTCTTCTAAAATGGGGAGGAAAAAAACTTGTATTTAATAATCTCCCATAATAATAAGTTTTTAAATTTTTTTATTTATTTATTCATAGTTGCTTTAAAAATATTTTGAAAAGTACCCTTTTTAATAATTTTTCATAAGATTTTTTTCATTTGTTTCATGGTGTAAATCACCTTAGTTGTTTTACATAAAGCTCCGGACCCACAATATACTGGCAGCATTGTGGTAGTTCTCTTCTTTTTTCATAATCCCTTTATTTTAAAAATAACGTTAAGCAAATTAGTGATAAATTTTTGTTTAATATTTCATTGTGTACGATGTATTATTAATTAATAATGTGCTCATTAAATGATCAGTATTAAATATTTTTATGAAATAAAGAAGATTCTATAAATTATGTGAACTTCCGTGTTACATACTGTTCTTTAATGAAAATCATTATTTATCCTCTAGAAAATCCAGATTTCAATATTAAAGACAAACAAAATCCAAAATGTTTTGTATATTTCATAAAAAAATCAAGTTTAAAAACAAAAGAAAAAAATACTTGTACACCAATATTGCTTAAAATAAAATCATCAACTATATTGTCGGTCTATTGCTGAAAGTCATTAGGTGACATTTTATAATCTGAAATCAATAAGAACTTTGACATGAATATTTAATTTCTTCTCTACTTATCAGGGTAAAAGATTTTACACAAAATTGGGAAGTAAAGACTTGGTTTTAAATAAAATTCAATTTACTAATTGAAATTACAAATATAAAATATTGTAAAATGAAAGTGAATAGGAGAAACAAAACACTTCCAACATTTTAAAAAAATATTGGGTGAAACGAAAATTAAAGCAAATCTCAAGAAAATCTATAGCTAGAGGGTGGGTTACTTTTATGTCATAACCACACTAAACGTTTTAAGCTCCAAGTTGGTGCAAAACATAGTCATCAAACGAATGCTCCAGTGACTAATGAACATATAATACAAGACCAGGGCATCGATAAGAACACATTTTGGTTGTTTAGCTATAGTGAAGGAAAATTATGAATGCAAAGGTATATATGTTGCCATTTTTTTATATTTTATCTGTTGGAGCCCACTAATTAATAGGGTACAGGAACATCCATCGTAGTTAACACTAAAAGCTTCCTTTTTGCTCAATTTCTATACCACTTTTTAATTTTTTTCCAATATATATAACAGAAATGAATCAAATTCACTTTCTTAAGTTTTAATTTTTCTCAAGATAGATAGATATTGAGTTTAAAATACTTGAACATGTTAATGTCATGGACCACTGCCAGTTATTGAGAGTCACCTTTATTATATTTGTATTAGTCTTTTTATTTATTCATGATTTTATATCCCGTTTCAGTTCTAAAATTGTTTCTTATATCCGTATTTAAAAAAAATAAAAGTCTTTAACAAAACATTCCATATTAAAACAGTTCTCTGAAATATACAACTTTCTGAAGTGAGCTTTTTTTTTCTTCTTCTCTATTTGTTAACTTTTATATTTCTGTCAAGGTGGAAGAGAGGTTTGGATGGGAATGCATTTTGGATCGGCCTCCGTTGTTTTTTAAGTTGGAAAATTTCTCAAGCAGCTCACATCTGGAGGCCCTTCCTTCTTTATTACCTTACATTATGATAACCTCATGGGGTCCATTTTGGCCCCGCCTCCTATTTCAGGCCATTCAATATGGTAAAGTACGTATTAATATTTAAAATGGGATGTCATTTTATTTATTTAGTATTACTATTATTTATTTTTTTTTTATTTAATAAGTCAATATTAAAACAATTGACAAAAGTAAATACGGGTTTTATAAATATTTGAAATTTGAAATATAAGTATCCTGTTTGAAATCATTAAAGTATCTTGTTTATCTAATGCTAGAAACATTCTTATTTTATGAATTGATCATTTATTTTTAACCATGATTTCTTCAGCACACAAAATCGATCTGAGAAATCCAGCCTCACATAATTTCTATTGGACTAGTTTATCAATTAGGTTTTCTTATTGAAGGCTTGATTATTTTTCTTTTGTAGCATAACAATCACGATTCACTGCTTTCATCTTTAGGCGAATGAATTTCATCAATGTTGTGTGAAACTAATCTCTCAGACATATTTGATACGTTCATGTATATATACATATATATATATTTTTTTTTTATTCATGAAATTAATAAGTGATCAGCACCTTTGAAGATCCTAATTATATTTACTCTAATTAATTAATTAATTGATTTGTCAAAAAAAAATTTTGATATTGAAAAAGCCATTTGGATGATGACAGTATCAAGATTAAAGAGGTATTCTGATATATGATAGGATTTTGATTAATCCAGTAATAAGGAGTATGTTACAGAAAATTTCCGTTTAGAAGGAAAGTATAAAGAAAGAAGAGAAAACGCCCTGCCGGTTAACTGAGTTACATTAAAGTAGCATAGAATTAAAAATAGAAATATAGCATAAAGTAATAAATGACTATCAAATCATTAATGTTGGAAAGCTGAAATTCTGTGGAACTGGTAAAAAAAAAAAAATTGAAATAAAGAATAAGCCAAAAATAAAAATAATTTTAATGAAAATGCTATTTACTTGCTTGTTTTTCACCTTAGGAAAATCCTGACTATACATCTCGGTTAATTTTAAAAATCCATCTCATAAGTTTTTGTCTCCCCACGCTCTATAATTGTTTTGTTTTTCAAGATGTAAAACATTAATAAATAAATGTCATTTCATTGAAACTGTTAGAGAAAAAAAGAGCTCATCACTTAGTTGGATATCTCAAATCATTCAGTGTGCTGGAGTTAAATTTCACATGGTGCATAGTTGCGGATTCATTACATAACAATAATCAAATCCAGTTACTTTTTGAGAATATTAATAAAGCAAAATTAATATAAAACAATTTATCAATTAATCAAAATATATCATTTGACATCCCAAATTTCTGAGCCCTTCCTCTCCCAGTGTTACTATTTTTGTCCGATAGAATTTTTATTTTTAGCTGTAAATTGTTTTTAAAAAATAACATTAATATTGGTTTTTCTGTCAAAAAATTCCCAAAAACAAAAGATATATTTCTGTCCTAATTCCTATTATATATTTTTTATTTGGTTAATTTTAATGAAATGAAGACTGGAAGCTTATAAAATATATTTTGGTTAATTAATAAATTGTAATTCTATTAACCTCTCTTTTATTAATAATAAACTGACATGTCATATGATATTCACATGAATTTTATTGTAAAGAATATCAATAAGCAGTTCACCTGAGCACGGTGTTTTAGAACCTCTAGTGTAATATATGAGTTTATTTTGTCTTATTACTACTTTGCACAAAGAGTGAGCTTTAAGATTGATTAATATGAGAATGGGCTGATATTTTATTTTTAAAATACATACTATGAAAAATCATGGTTGCTTGATGTGCCCTATGAAACAGACATTTTGTATTAAGCCCTTTTCTAATATAAATGTAACATGTTTCATTTAATAATAAAAAAAAAAAAAAAATACAGGTTATGTAAAGTTTCTATATAAGTTACTTTGTTACATAGCAGGTATGCAAGCTCCAAATTTTTTTTTATTTCAATCATGCCTTTCTGTAATAAAGGTATGAATTGCCATTTATAAAAGTTGACATGATGTTAATTTTGAATACACTGGATAATTGAACATTATAATATTTGTTCATGCAATTATTTTTAAAGAATGTTTTGTTACTTAAAGTTAAGCTTTGCTGATTGAAATAATAATAGACAGATTTTAGTTAGTAGGAATTTGGTGATTACATAGGAGTTATTGCTGAAATATTGTGCTATAGAATATTCAAAAGCAATCAAGTTTAATAAAAGCAAGTTTATTACCATTAATAATATAATGGTAATAATGATTAATCAGTATTATAAAAATTATTTTCAAAGCCTTTGATTTGAAATTATGATTGTTTTGAATAAACAATTATGTTTTGCTAATTTCGTTTTTGTGAAAAGATTTAACAATTAAAAAGCTAATAGCTGTGGGCAGTATTTTAAATTAATGTTTTTACTACCTAATTTCTATGGGTCTGGCACAAAAAAAGAATGTCATTTCAGCACAGACTTGAACTGATACTGCTTCTTGATCATGACTAGGAGTTAAAAAAACGTTAAAATGAATAAATATTTACTTCACTGATTCATATCAGAGAGTTTATTGATGATATAAAGACAATTCCATATGATCAAACATGAAAAATAGCTTAAAATTACTTAAATTAAAATTACTTACTTAAAATCTTTGTTACTAATAATAATTTGCTTAATTTATTCTGGGACAGGTCCCTTTAGAATAATACAATTATGGGCTTTAGAGTTTCGGCGTTTTATAAAAAGAATAATAAAATAAACATAAAAATATTTAAAAAATATAAATTAACTTCTAACTTTATGAATTAAAAAAAAAAAAATTATACTTAAAAACAAATATATATCAAATAATAGTTAATATACATATTTACAGGAAAAGCTATACAATTGTTCGGGAACTGGATGGGTAGGAAGTGATTGAATAGGCCGGATTTAAAGGTGGGTAAGTTATTGGAGTGACAGATGTATGACGGAATTCTATAGGATCGAGTAATGAAAGATCTGTCAAAAGTTGCAATACTGTAACCGTTGTATATAAATCTGAAGACAAAGAGCGAGTATTGTGGGAGAGAATTTGAGCTGAAGGAGCTTAGAAATGTATGAGG